ACAGACCACACAGGAGGCAGTGAAATAATGGAACCTGTGGACCGGGAGACAGGACCACACAGTAGGCACACCCAGGAATGGACCACACGTGGAGGACATAATGGACTCACCACAGTGGAGGGCAGTGAAGAATGGACCCACACAGAAGGTGGCACACAGGACCCCAGGAACAGACCACAGTGGAAGGCAGGAAACCCAGGGACCCAGGAGACAGGACCAGACCAGTGGAACACAGGAACCTGGACCGTGGAGACAGGAACGCACACAGGACCGGAGACAGACCCAAGCACAAGGACAACCCAGGACCCCAGGAGACAGATCACACAGGAGGAAACCCAGGGACCGGGAGACACACGAACCAGGGAAACACACAGCAGGAAAAGAATGAGACAGACCACACAGGACCGGAAATGACCAACACACCCAGAACTGAAACAGGACCACACAGCCAAGAAATAATGGAAACAGGACCAGCAGGACCACTGTGGCCAGCTGAAGAACACGTGGAACGGACCAGGAGGCAGGACCACACCAGGAAACCCAGACAGACCACACAGAACACAGCCCAGGGACCAGAGGACCAGCACAGGAAATAATGGAACCCAGGACCAGGACAGACCCACACAGGAGGAAATGGAATGGACTGTGAGACAGGACCACACAGTGGAGGGCCAGAAATAATGGACCGGAACAGACCACACAGGAAAAATAATGGACCGGAAGACCAGACAGGAAAAATAATGGACTGTGGAGAACGGCATTGTAGAGGGAAGGTAAAATGAATGGAATGGACCAGGAACAGACCACATTGTATGGAGGCAGTGAAATAATGGAGGATGACACAGGGAGGAAAATAATGGAATGGAGACCACAGTGAAAAATACAATGGACCGGAAACAGACCAAGACAGGAGGGAATGGGAAACGGACCAACAGGAGTGGACACAACGTGGAAACCCAGGGACCGTGGAAAAACAGACCACAACAGGGAGGCTTGAAATAATGGACTGGACCGAGACAGACAGGAGGGTTTTGGCAGTGGAAATGGAATGGACCGTGAGGAGGACTTAAGACAAGAAATAATGGAAAATCAGGAGACAGACCAAGACCTGTGGAGAGTGAAAATAATGGAACCCAGTGGACTGAAACAGACCATTGTGGAGGGTTTGGGTGAAAATAATGTCTGTGGGACTGAGACACTCAAGGAAGAATGGACCTGTGAGACAGACCACACAGGAGGAAGAATGGACCCAGGACCCCAGGAAACGGACCACACAGAAGGAAAAGAATGGACTGAGACAGACCAAGAGGGCTGAAAATAATGGATCAGGAGACAGACCACATTGAAAATAATCAGGGACCAGGAAACAGACCACACAGGAAAAGAAGGTGAACAGGAGTCTGGACCGGAACAGACTCACTGAAAGGAAAAGGAATGGATCAGAACAGACCACACAGTGGAGGCCAAGGAAAAGAATAATAGACCACACAGAAAATAACTGGACCAGGAGAACAGACCACACAGGAGGAAAATAATGGACCAGGGAGGACTACACAGTGGAGGAAGAATGGGAAACTGGACCAGACAGACCATGAAGGAAGGGACAATGGATAAACGGAAGGACCCACATTGTGGAAGGAATGGAACAGAAAGAAAAGAATGAAGGAATGGAGACAGATCAAGATGGAGGTGGACAATGACACCCAGGGATCAGGATAGACCAGCATGAAGAAATAATGGAATGGACCGAAATAGACTACACAGAAAATAGCAGGAAAATAATGGACCAGGAAATAGATCATTAGGGAGGAAAGAATGGAAATGGACAAGATGGAAAGAATGGAACAGAAGGAAGAATGGAATGGACAGAATGGGAAATGGGACCAGAGAAACGACCACATTGTGGAGGCAGGACAACCCATGGACCTGTGAGACAGATCACACAGGAGGAAACAGACCACACACAGTTCTTAGGAAACCCAGAGACACCAAGACCACACACACAATGGAACCCATGGACCGTGAGACAGGACCAAGAGGCACACACAGGATCCCAGGAAACAGACTCACACAGGAGGAAAATAACCCAGGACCCAGGAAATGACCAGCATTGTGGGGACAAGGAAGGAAAATGGATCACCCAGGATCACACAGGAAACAGACCACAATGGATGCCAATGGAATTGAAATGGACCGAGACAGACCACACAGCAGTGGAACAATGGACTGGACAGGGAGAGGACAATGATGGAAACAGGGACTGAAACCATACATGGACGGAGACCATATTCCCAGGAATGAATCAGAAACAGACCACACTGTGGCAATGGAAACACACAGGGGACCGGAGACAGACCAGGAAATAATGGACCGTAGGAGGGCAGACCACACAGGAAAAAGGAAGTGTGAACAATGGACCCAGACTACACAGGACCATGACCAGTGGACAATGAGTGGTTCCCAGGATCCGAGACAGACCACACTGGCCAACGGGACACCGGACCGTGAGACAGGACCACACACAGAGGGAAACCCAGGAACCCAGGGACCGTGAGACAGGACCACACAAAGTGGAGGAAAGAATGGAACCCAGGACCGTGAGACAGGACCAGACTGCAGGCAGTGGAACACAGGAAGGAGACAGGACCCAGGAGACAGACCACACAGGAGTGGCCAGGAGGACAATGTGGACCGTGGAGACAGACCACACACACAGGAGGGCCAGGACCGTGGATGGACAGTGGACCGTGAGGACAGACCACACAGTGGAGGGACCGTGAGGCATGGACCACACAGGAGGCCAGGGACCGTGGAGACAGACCACACAGTGGACAGGAGGAAACCCAGGACCCAGGACCAAGGAGGGGACCATGGACAGGACCGGAGGCACACACTGGGAAACGGACGGAACACCCAGGACCGGTGAGACAGACCACACACAGGAGGCACAGGCAGGAAAAGGAATGGACCGGATGGAGGAAACAACGAATGAGACAGGACACACACACAGGCACAATGGACCCAGGAGACAGACCACACACAGGACTGAGACAGAATAATGAAGGAAACCCAGGACCGTGAGACAGACCACACAGTGAAGAAAATAATGGAACCCAGGACATGGACTGAACATGGAGGAAGGATGTGGACCAGGAGAACAGACCACACAGTGAAGTGGAAGGAATGGACCCCAGGAGACAGGACCACACAGTGGCAGAAGGAAATAATGTCTTGGGACCGTGGAGACAGACCATGACAGTGGACCGTGAGACAGGTAGTGGACAACACGATGGAAACCCAGGACCGGAGACAGACCACACAGGGAGGCAGTGGACAATGATGGAAACCCAGGACCGTGGATCACAGTGGTGGGGTGGAAATAATGGAAACGGACCAGGACAGACCACACATTGGTGAGGAAGGCAGTGGACAATGATGGGAAACCCAGGACTGTGAGACAGGACTGGAGCACAGGAGGACCAGCAGTGGACACATGGATGTGGAAACCAGGGACTGTGGAGACCAGACAAGAGGCTTAGTGTGAAAATAAGTGGAAACCAGAGACAGACTATAATGGAAGAAAAGAAAATAATGGAATGGACTGTAGACAGACCACTGTGGACAATGATGTGGACTGAGGACTACATGAGTGAAATAATGGGAAACGGACTGAAAATAGAAGGAAATAATGGACTGTGGAGACAGGACTACACAGTAGGGAAGGGAAAAATGGAAACCCAGGGACTGTGGAGACAGACTACAGGGAGGGACAATGATGGAATGGACTGAGACAGGACTACAGAGTGGACAATGATGTGGATCAGGGACTGTGGAGACAGAGGGGGTGGAAATAATGGGAAACATGGATCAGGAGACAGGACAGAGAGGGTGGAATGGGAATGGACAGACAGGGCCACCGGAAACCCAGGACCGGGGAGACAGACCAGCACAGTGGAAGGGTGGAAGAAGGGACCCAGGAGACAGACCACTGAGGGAAGTGGAAAATAAGGACTGACAGAGGACAGAGGAGGGACAACATGGAAACGGAGACAGACCAGGACTGCAGGAGGAACAAGGGAGCGGGAAAAATAATGAGTCTGTGGACCCAGGCACACTGAGGACCCAGGACAGTGGAAAATAACGTGGAAACCCATGGATCCGGGAGACAGGACTGGCACAGGAGGCAGCCAAAATAACGTGGAGGATCCCAGGAAACAGACCCAGCATTGTAGGAGTGCTAGGAGGAAAAATAATGAGGGCCAGGGAAACAGACCACACAGGAGGGACAGGGTAAATAACTAACCCAGGGACCCAGGAGACAGAACGGCACAGGAGGAAGCCATGGTACAAACGGACCACACTTTGAGACAGACCACAGCAGATGGAACCCAGGACCGTGGAGACAGACCACACAGGAGGCCAGGCAGGAAAATGGGAAACCCAGGACCGTGAGACAGACCACACAGGAGGAAGGAAAATAATGGAAACAGAGGACCGGAGGCAGTGGACAGGGACAGGAAACGGACCAGGACACAGACCACACAGGGGTGAATAAAATAATGGACCAGGAGACAGACCACACAGGACAATGACCCAGGACAGGTGAGACAGGACCACACACCACACTGGAGACAGGGACACAGGAAGAATACGGACCAGACACAGACCACACAGGAGGAAACCCAGGACAGGAGGCACAGGGGAAACAATGGACCTGTGAGACAGACCACACAGAGGACACAGGGAGGATGGAGGACAACATGAAGGAACCCAGGACCAGACACAGGACCACACACAATGGACACCCAGGACCGTGAGACAGACCACACAGTGGCACAGGAAACCCAGGACCGGGAGACAGACCACAGGGAGGACACACCCGGTGAGACAGACCACACAGGGACAGGAAACCCAGGACCGTGAGACAGACCACACAGGAGGAAACGGACCCAGGGACCCAGGAGACAGACCACAGGAGGAATGGACCGAGACAGACCAGGATGGAAACAGGGACCGTGGAGACAGACCACACAGGACCAGGAGGCAGGAAACACAATGGGAAACCCAGGACCGTGAGACAGACCACACAGGGAGGGACAAACCCGGGGATCAGGAACCCAGGACCGTGGAGACAGACCACACGGAGGAACACACAGAGACAGACCACACAGGACCGTGAGACAGACCAGGACAGGAGACACACCAGGACACAGGAGACAGACCACACAGTGGCAGACCACAGACCACACAGGAAGGAGACAGGACCACACAGGACCAGGAGACAGGACCCAGGACACACACAGCAGACCCACACACCGGAGACAGGACCACACACAGGGAAACAGGAGACAGACCAGAGACAGACCACAGGACAACAATGGACACAGACAGGAGGCACACAGGAGGACCGGAGACAGACCACACAGGAGACCAGAACCCAGGACCCAGGACCCCAGAGACAGACCACACAGGAAAAAGGGACCGTGGAGACAGACCCAGGAGAGGACACACGGACTGGACCGTGGAGACAGACCACACAGGACCCAGGAAAAAATAACACAGGACCGGAGACAGACCACAGGAGACAGTGGAGGGAAACACACAGGACCGTGAGGGAGACACCACAGGAGGAAACACAGGACCAACAATGGGAGTGAGACAGACCACATTGGAAGGCAGGACCAGGAGACAGAAGGACCAACAGTGGACCAGGAGACAGACCAGGAGGGCTGAGGCAGGACAGGAAACCCAGGACTGTGGAGACAGACTACAGGAGGAAAAGGAAACAGGGACCGTGGAGACAGACCACACAGGAGTGGAAGGACACAAGGACAATGGACCAGGAGACAGGACACAGGAAATAATGTGGACACCGGGGGAAAATAATGGGAAACAGACTGGACCGGACACAGACCACACAGTGGAAAAATGGAAACAGGACTGGAGACAGACCCAGGACAGGAGGAATGGAGAAGGACAACCGGAGGACACTGGAGGAATGGACAGGACCAGGAAGACATACCAAACGGACAGGAACAGGAAGAAGGAAATAGGAGGAAACAGGAACACCCAGGACCGTGGAGACAGGACCGGAATGAACTGGGAAACAATGGACACATGAGACAGGGAATGGAACAGGGACCGTGAGACAGACCAGGTGGAGGGCTAGGAAAAATAATGGACCAGGGACTGTGACAGGGGAGGGCAGGCAGATGGGAAAATAATGGGACCAGGACCGACACAGACCATGGAGGGAAGGGGGAAAGGGAAACAGGAGACAGGGACTGTGAGACACAGGAAGGAGGTGGACAATGGAATGGAAAGGAGGGACAATAATGGAATTCAGGGACTGGAGGAGGACCGACACAGGAGGGCCAGGGAAGGAAATGGGAAAGGACAGGGAGGGACAGGATGGACAGTGGAGACAGGGAGGGAGGCAGTGGAAAACAATGGAAACAGGGACCGGAGACAGACTACAGGAAGCAATGCAGGGCTGTGGGAAGGGGGAAAATAATGGAAACAGGGACTGTGGAGACAGACTTGACTGGAGGGTGGAAATAATGGGAAACAATGGGACAGGACTGGAACAGGCACAAGGGAAACAGGGACTGGAAACAGGACTGTGAGACAGACAGGAGGGAGAGCTAGGCAGCAGGGAAAAATAATGTGGTTCAGGGACTGTGAGACAGACTACATTGTAGGGAGGGCTAGAAAGTGGGGGAAAATAATGTGGTTCAGGGACTGTGAAACAGACTACATTGCAGGGAGGGCTTGGGGTGTGAGTAGGAAGGAATAATGGGTTCAGGGACTGAGAGAGACTACATTGTAGGGAGGGCTAGGCAGCAGGTAAAATAATGTGGTTCAGGGACTGTGAGACAGACTACATTGTAGGGAGGGCTAGGCAGCAGGTAAAATAATGTGGTTCAGGGACTGTGAGACAGACTACATTGTAGGGAGGGCTAGGCAGTTGGGAAAATAATGTGGTTCAGGGACTGTGAGACAGACTACATTGTGAGGAGGGCGAGGCAGTAGGGACAATGATGTGGTTCAGGGACTGTGAGACAGACTACATTGTGAGGAGGGCTAGGCAGTAGGGAAAATAATGTGGTTCAGGGACTGTGAGACAGACTACATTGCAGGGAGTGCTAGGCAGTTGGGAAAATAATGTGGTTCAGGGACTGTGAGACAGACTACATTGTGAGGAGGTGTAGGGAGGGCTAGGCAGTAGGGACAATGATGTGGTTCAGGGACTGTGAGACAGACTACATTGTAGGGAGGGCTAGGCAGTAGGGAAAATAATGTGGTTCAGGGACTGTGAGACAGACTACATTGCAGGGAGTGCTAGGCAGTTGGGAAAATAATGTGGTTCAGGGACTGTGAGACAGACTACATTGTGAGGAGGTGTAGGGAGGGCTAGGCAGTAGGGACAATGATGTGGTTCAGGGACTGTGACACAGACTACATTGTAGGGAGGGCTAGGCAGTTGGGAAAATAATGTGGTTCAGGGACTGTGAGACAGACTATATTGTAGGGAGTGCTAGGCAGTAGGGACAATGATGTGGTTCAGGGACTGTGAGACAGACTACATTTAGGGAGGTGTAGGGAGGGCTAGGCAGTAGGGACAATGATGTGGTTCAGGGACTGTGAGACAGACTACATTGTGAGGAGGGCTAGGCAGCAGGGAAAATAATGTGGTTCAGGGACTGTGACACAGACTACATTGTGAGGAGGGCTAGGCAGTAGGGACAATGATGTGGATCAGGGACTGTGAGACAGACTACATTGTGAGGAGGGCTAGGCAGTAGGGAAAATAATGTGGTTCAGGGACTGTGAGACAGACTACATTTAGGGAGGTGTAGGGAGGGCTAGGCAGTAGGGACAATGATGTGGATCAGGGACTGTGAGACAGACTACATTGTGAGGAGGGCTAGGCAGTAGGGAAAATAATGTGGTTCAGGGACTGTGAGACAGACTACATTGTGAGGAGGGCGAGGCAGTAGGGACAATGATGTGGTTCAGGGACTGTGAGACAGACTACATTTATGGAGGTGTAGGGAGGGCTAGGCAGTAGGGACAATGATGTGGATCAGGGACTGTGAGACAGACTACATTGTGAGGAGGGCTTGGCAGTAGGGAAAATAATGTGGTTCAGGGACTGTGAGACAGACTACATTGTGAGGAGGGCGAGGCAGTAGGGACAATGATGTGGTTCAGGGACTGTGAGACAGACTACATTTAGGGAGGTGTAGGGAGGGCTAGGCAGTAGGGACAATAATGTAGTTCAGGGACTGTGATACAGACTACATTGTAGGGAGGGCTAGGCAGTAGGGTACATAATGTGGTTCAGGGACTGTGAGACAGACTACATTGTAGGGAGGGCTAGGCAGCAGGGAAAATAATGTGGTTCAGGGACTGTGAGACAGACTACATTGTAGGGAGGGCTAGGCTGTAGGGAAAATAATGTGGTTCAGGGACTGTGAGACAGACTACATTCTAGGGAGGGCTGTAGGGAAAATAATGTGGTTCAGGGATTGTGAGACAGACTCCTTACATGTATACATATACATCTGAAACAACTCTGTAAGTGGTGTTTTGAACATAACAGTAAAGATTTCATTGTTGCAAACCCAACGAGTACAGAGGTTTACATCCGAAAACACTTACGTTAACCATTGGAATAGGGTTTCATGTTCACGGAACAGCAATGTGAAACAATATGTTCAACGTCATTTACAAAGCAAATCCTGGTGTTAATTGTTCATATTTCACTATTGATACGTTTACGGTATTTATAATTGAAATGTACACACTGATGATCAGAATATATACATGTTTGATGATGCTAAACACGTAACGACATTGATGCATGTAATTTAGTTATGTACATTTCTTTACAGTTCCCACAAAAATGGGTATGTGTCATACATTATCATGGATATAAGGTACAAAGTCATAAAGCAGAACTATTAATGAATATAGCTGTTTTAATACATGTCATTATCAACACACGATGGCCCGGAGGTAGAACGAAGTTTAAAAATCACCTTTAGCTGGGATAAAAATATTTTAAACTATTTACTGACACTGTGAATATTCAAATAATGTGTTTCTTGGTTGAGTTGTCGCATTATTTCATCTATACGTCCACGTGGAGCTAAGTGGCTAATATATAACAACAGCACGGTTTGCAGCGGTGTTTAACCACTCACTCACACACCACTCTCACTCACCGGTATCAGCTCACCCAAACAAACAGCATCCACTCACTCACACACCACTCTCACTCACCAGTATCGGCTCACCCAAACAAACAGTATCAACTCACTCACACACCTCTCTCACTCACCAGTATCGGCTCACCCAAACAAACAGTATCAACTCACTCACACACCACTCTCACTCACCAGTATCGGCTCACCCAAACAAACAGTATCAACTCACTCACACACCACTCTCACTCACCAGTATCGGCTCACCCAAACAAACAGTATCAACTCACTCACACACCACTCTCACTCACAAGTATCGGCTCACCCAAACAAACAGTATCAACTCACTCACACACCACTCTCACTCACCAGTATCGGCTCACCCAAACAAACAGTATCAACTCACTCACACACCACTCACTCACACACCACACTCAGTCACCAGTATCGGCTCGCCCAAACAAACAGTATCAACGCTCTCCACACCACTCTCACTCACCAGTATCGGCTCGCCCAAACAAACAGTATCAACTCACTCACACACCACTCTCACTCACCAGTATCGGCTCACCCAAACAAACAGTATCAACTCACTCACACACCACACTCACTCACCAGTATCGGCTCACCCAAACAAACAGTATCAACTCACTCACACACCACTCTCACTCACAAGTATCGGCTCACCCAAACAAACAGTATCAACTCACTCACACACCACTCTCACTCACCAGTATCGGCTCACCCAAACAAACAGTATCAACTCACTCACACACCACTCACTCACACACCACACTCAGTCACCAGTATCGGCTCGCCCAAACAAACAGTATCAACGCTCTCCACACCACTCTCACTCACCAGTATCGGCTCGCCCAAACAAACAGTATCAACTCACTCACACACCACTCTCACTCACCAGTATCGGCTCACCCAAACAAACAGTATCAACTAACTCACACACCACACTCACTCACCAGTATCGGCTCACCCAAACAAACAGTATCAACTCACTCACACACCACTCTCACTCACCAGTATCGGCTCACCCAAACAAACAGTATCAACTCACTCACACACCACTCTCACTTACAAGTATCGGCTCACCCAAACAAACAGTATCAACTCACTCACACACCACTCTCACTCACCAGTATCAGCTTACCCAAAACAAACAGTATCAACTCACTCACACACCACTCTCACTCACCGGTATCAGCTCACCCAAACAAACAGTATCAACTCACTCACACACCACTCTCACTCACCGGTATCAGCTCACCCAAACAAACAGTATCAACTCACTCACACACCACACTCACTCACCAGTATCAGCTCACCCAAACAAACAGTATCAACTCACTCACACACCACTCTCATTCACCAGTATCGGCTCGCCCAAAACAAACAGTATCGACTCACTCACACGCCACACTCACTCACCAGTATCAGCTTACCCAAAACAAACAGTATCAACTCACTCACACACCTCTCTCACTCACCGGTATCAGCTCACCCAAACAAACAGTATCAACTCACTCACACACCACACTCACTCACCAGTATCAGCTCACCCAAACAAACAGTATCAACTCACTCACACACCACTCTCACTCACCAGTATTGGCTCGCCCAAAACAAACAGTATCAACTCACGCACACACCACTCTCACTCACCAGTATCAGCTTACCCAAAACAAACAGTATCAACTCACTCACACACCACTCTCACTCACCAGTATCAGCTCACCCAAACAAACAGTATCAACTCACTCACACACCACTCTCACTCACCAGTATCAGCTCACCCAAACAAACAGTATCAACTCACTCACACACCACTCTCACTCACCAGTATCAGTTCACCCAAACAAACAGTATCAACTCACTCACACACCACTCTCACTCACCA